AATATTCACTGATGTTAGCCAATCCACTTGGCGTATTGGTTCTTCCCCGAACATCAATTCCACGCTTCATCCTCTTCTACAGCTTTTCAAACACCTGACAATCAAACCTTATCAAAAGGCATGTAACACATTTTTCTTCTTCCAATACCTTCATGACGGAATCAGGTTTCCAAAATTCCAATCCAATACTTGTATATTTCTCATTTGATATATCTTCAAACAGGCGGAGTTTACTCCTGAGGAACTTAACTCTCGCAAACGTTCGCTGAATTTGGAGGTATGTGTTACAGCTCCTTGAAACTGATATGATTTTGGGAAATGAAAATGTTATGAACTTGATGGAAACCAATTAAGTTATGCTATTTTATCATCAGGATGACTTTGACGAAAGAGCAGCATTGTTGGCCATAGCGAAAAGAAGAAAAGGTTCTCAACAGTATATGGAGCAAAACAAAGATGAAGAAGATTCTCCTGAGTCATATATGAATCGGGTTGTTGGCGCTACAGATTCATACAACCTGGAGGTCTGAATTATTTATAAGAGCTTATTTTTGTCCCTTTAAAACCGAAAACTAATGTTTAGATATCAATTTGTATTGTCAAATCGTCTAGGAAATGGAAGCTCCAAGTACACTCACGTGTAACCTGAGACCATACCAGAAACAAGCTCTCTACTGGATGTCTGAATCTGAAAAAGGAATTGATGTTGAAAAGGCAGCTGAAACTCTACATCCTTGTTGGGAAGCTTATCGGATATGTGACGAGTATGTACTATCTCAAATGTTTTATTATGAGCTGCAAATCGTATATGTTATTTGATCTAATAACGTTGATTTGTATGTAAAATTTTCAGGAGAGCACCTTCAATTTATGTAAACATCTTCAGTGGCGAAGCAACAATCCAGTTTCCAACCGCAACACAAATGGCAAGAGGCGGAGTATGTTTCTTGATCGCGCGCTAACACATTTTATTTCTCTCTAATGGCATGGAATGGCAAATATTTTCTGGTTATGGATTTAATATAAGTTAATTTGCAGATATTGGCAGATGCCATGGGACTTGGAAAAACTGTGATGACAATTGCGCTAATACTTGCACGGCCAGGCCGAGGTAACCCCGTAGATGAAGATGACCATGTGGTTGATGTTAGTGGTGATAAACGTAAGAGGAAGGAGGAACAAACCGCACTAGCGTTGGTGAAGGCAAAAGGAGGCACTCTTATTATTTGTCCCATGGCATTATTAAGCCAATGGAAGGTGAATAATTTCCTTGATAGCTGATTCTTTGATAGTTTTTTCAGAAAAGTCTCATGGATTTTCACTTTATTACAGGACGAGCTTGAAACTCATTCGAAGCCTGACACCGTGTCTGTGTTAGTTTACTATGGAGGAGATAGGACACATGATGCAAAAGCAATAGCGAGTCATGATGTGGTTTTGACAACTTATGGTGTTTTAACCTCTGCTTACAAGCAGGTAAGAAAAGTATTATGTATCAATGTTCTGTTCCGAAACATTGTTTTTTTCTCTGTTTAGTTGAACTTAGAATCTGAATTCATGAAATGCAGGATAATGCGAACAGTATCTTCCACAAGATTGATTGGTACAGGATTGTTCTTGATGAAGCTCACACAATCAAATCATGGAAAACTCAAGCTGCTAAAGCCACGTTTGAGTTGTCTTCACACTGCAGATGGTGTTTGACAGGGACTCCCTTACAAGTAAGATACTAAAAGCAACTTGTGAAGAGACCATATAAGCTCGTACTCTTTTGCCACTTACTGACTCTATAACTCTTCAATACAGAACAAGCTTGAAGATCTTTACAGTCTTCTATGCTTCCTGCATGTTGAACCTTGGTGCAATTGGGCTTGGTATGATCTGAAATCCTATTATCATGTGCTATATAATTCCTTTTGTTTAACTATACTCCTAATATATGTGTGTGTCTAGGTGGAGTAAGTTGATTCAGAAGCCTTATGAAAATGGTGATCCACGAGGACTGAAGTTGATCAAGGCAATTCTGAGGCCATTGATGCTGAGAAGAACGAAGGAAACAAGGGACAAAGAAGGAAGGTAAGTAA